AACAGAACTGGGAACAGCCAACCTGGCCAGTCTTTTGGGCTGGTTCTCCTCATTGCCTGCAGCTTTCCTCACAGACATTCGAGCTTCCTGGCACCTCTAACTTTCTGGAATCTCTACTGCAGCTATGAATTCACTTTCACAGCTTCACAGATCTGCTCTTGGGGACTGCCCACAGGGACTCAGACCCTTTAATACATTGCCTGGTCTCTCAGGCCTTCCTTTCAAATCCCAGTTGAAGCCTCTGTGACTTCACAGCTCTTGCATTTCGCATACCTGCAAAATCTGCATCATGCGGGTGGTGCTGATGTCTGCCACCAGCGTTAGCAGTGCTGGGTCCACTTGGCCCATTCCTACAGTGGCCTCTGAATGCCTGAATAGCTGAGTACAGTTTCCTTGGGAAACAACTTCCTCAATGCCCCCCTGGAGCTCTCAGAGAAAATTCTTTCAATCAAGTTTACACTTTAAACTCACTTAAGTGAGACTATGATGAGTGGGATCCAGCCAGTTCCTGGGATGCCTTCAAGGTGTCATTCCTATGTTCTTGCAAAGTACTTGGTTCCTTTCTGAGAGGCAAATCTGCTCAGCCACAACTTCCTTGGTTTCAGCATTAAGTGGGTTTCATTTCTGCCCAAACTGCATTATCTTTTGCTCCCAGTTATCACTGTAAATCTGACTATATTCAACCAGCAATATCTATGCCTCTGTGTTATGCAGCCTTGAAATTTCCTCCAAAATAGTAATTAATCCACTATCTTTAAACTCGGTCTTAACAAAGTCTCAAGGCACGGACAATATATCGACAAGTTCTTTGCCAGACTGTAACATGGATGGCCTCTAGTCCAATTCCCAACAGATTCCTCAATTCCATTTGAGACCTCATGAGTACAGTCTTTACTGTCTGCATTCTTCTCATTCTGGTCTTTGAGCTCACATTAGAATTACCCATTAACCTTCTTTTATACTATTCTGAGCTTTCTCTAGTCTGTTTCCTCCAAACATTTCCAAACCATTTTCACATCAGTGCCAAAGGCTTCTGAACCACACCATAAGGCTTAGTCACAGCAAATTGGTGCTGTGAAAATTGGTACCAATTTTCCGTGTTAGTGTGCTGGTTAATCTTAATTATCAGTCTGACTGGATTACACCTCTTGGAGAGGTGACTGGATCGTGAGAGCACTAACGCATTGATAAGTCTTGGCTATTAGCAGGTGGGCCTAGTTGGAAGAAATGATCATGAAGGCATAACTGGAAACTATATATGATCCTTGTCCCCTTTCTCTCTGGCTCTTTCCAAACTGTTCCATTTCTTGGCTTGTTTCAGCAATGAAAAAACTGACCACTACAGTCAGATTACTATCTCTGAAACAAAATGTTTGAGAATAACATCTTAAAGAAGAAAGGTTTGCTTTGAATCAAAATTTCAGAGCTTTCAATACATGGTTGACTGATTTTGTTGTTTTTGGACCTGGGGTGAGCCAGAGAACATCACGGCAGAGGGCCTGGCAAAGGAAGGCTGCTCATCTCATGACATCCAGGGAGGAGAGAGACAGACAGACAGACAGACATCATGGCAGAGAGCCTGGCAAAGGAAACTGCTCATCTCATGGCATCCAGGAAGGAAGTGGGGTTGGGGGAGGTGAGGCAGCGAGACAGAAAGGTAGGCACTAGAGACATACTTCATCCACTTAGGTCCCACCTCATAATAAGCCCACAGAGCTATGAACTAATCATTGGAATAATTAATCACAGTGGATTAATTAGAGCCCTCATGATCCAATCATTTCCTACAGTCCCATCAGCTGGCAAGCAAGCTTTAACCTAGCACTTGGGGGATACTTTAAATCCAAACCATAACACTGCAACACCACTATTAACAAAGATGAAAACCCCAATAAAGGGGAAGGTCATAGAGGTTGATATATAAGGAGTTCCATTTGGGACATATTACATCAGAGGTCTCTGTGAAACTCATTAGTGGAGATGACTCAGAAGTCTCTCCGGAAGATGGAAATGTGACCCCTCAGAACCTCAGTGGTAGTGGAATCTTCATGATTGAGATGAAGTGGACAAGGGGATTACAGAGTGAAAAGAAAGCTTGGGACATAGTGCCAAGGAAAAAGTAGCTCAAGATACCATGAAAGCACAGCTTAGTTGATAATAATAGGAGTGGGAAACTGAGGTGGAGTCTGTGGAGATTGTTAGTGAGCCCAGGACACAGCCAGTGTATGTGGCTTGTCCTGGGGTACTTGTTCATAGGACCAATTTCTTTCCAAAAGTTCCCTGTTTAGAGAGTAAGTTACCCAGTTTAAGTTGAAGTTTTTGTTGGTATAAAAATATAACTCAGTATGAAATACCAATTCTATTCATATACTAAAAATTTCTGAAAGGCAATATGAATGTATTATATCCAGATACTGGTATCACATTTAAGATATTTCAGGTATCTTTTTCCTTTTATTACATATGTGTACTTTTAAGGTATATTATTATGACTTCAGGGTCTTCAAGCTTCCTTTGGAAGGGGTGTAAAATAAGAAGAAAAGAAAGAAAAATATAATCATTGTGGTACATACATTTTTTCTGTCTGTAGCAATGATACTAACAATAAATCCTCATGGATGATGAATCCATGTTTTTGTGAGACTTTTTTCCATTTTTAAGACACCAGCTTGCTCATGACGAGCATCTTTAAGGACATACTGTAAAGCTCAGAAAGCTACCCAATTAATTAACTAGATCAAGAGAATAAACCATGCAGTTCATACTTCTATATTATCTTTATGAGTCAATTTCTATTTAATTCTTTCAATGGATTACTTAATTTGCTTCTTACAATATGATTACAGAACAAATATTATGTTCATAGTAAAGGTAACACAATGGTCCCCAATCTGTGCAGGATCACAAAGCTAATTTAAAAAACCATTTATTTTTCTTGTTATTAACATATTCACAGTCAAGTCTGGATTCTGAAATTGGGAAAATTAGGATTTCTCACAGTACATGTTTTTTATTCTGAAATCAAGGGGCCTTTATGGAACCAGTTCAATGTCCTGCTTTCCTCTTTCTATGATTTTCGAGTCCTACCTGTGTCTACACTTTCATTACATCATTTACTCCTTTAGCATAGTGATAGATGACAGTTATCTGGTCTTTCCAACATTGTATTCCAGCCATTTGGGCAGAAAATACTCAATATGATTCAATTTATTAATATTATTAAATGGAGTATTTTTGATTCACATAAATGAAAAATATCTAGTGTCCAAGAAATGCTTATTTCCTCTTATAAGTACATTTCAACGTGTTCTGCTTTCTTTGATTTTTATTTCCTATGGAAATCTAATGGACACTAGCCAGTGAATTTTGCTTTACCACTGACAATGAACCTCTTTAAATTCAAAGTTGGCAAAATAACACAGAGAAGAATAAATTCGTCAAATGTGTTGAAGAGAGTAATGATCCTAAATATATTTCCTATAGAAATGTGAGAAATATTTACAGCAAGGAATAAAACATATTGAGAGGTTAATATATAGAACTCCTGAGTCTTGTCGATCGGTATTTACTTGGGAAAGTAAAGAAGAAACAAGAAGTATTAGAGAGGGAAAGAGGAAAAACAGAAATGCATAGCATGCAAGCAACCAGAAAATAGACTCTTCCACAGCTGAGAGCCCCAGGCTAAGAAAAAAAGACAATTTACTCCTCTGTAATATAGTACTAATAAAGAACAGTAAAATAGGTTTACATAGACAGCAATATACATTTATTTTGAGCAAAATTGTCATTAAAAATAAGAATGTGTTCAATTTTGCTTTTGCTGTTTTTAATAAAGGTCTTCTCTTTCCCTTTAGCCGTTATCATTCACCCAGGCTGGAAGCAAAACGGTGCAGATTTATAAGAAGACACCATCTTTATGTAGACTTCAGACAATTTTATCATGTGGGCTCAGAACCTCAAACGGATGCCAATCTAATTTCTTTTGGCTTTCCTCTATAAATTGCGGAGTCAGTCGCTTAATCTCAGGCCTTATTATTTTTCAAATATATTAAAGCGGTAGTATAGCAGGTGATTGCCAAGATCATTCCTAGCTTTGCCACTCTAAGAAATGGAAGTTCTTTGTGTTTGTTTTTAGCACTTGATGCTTTTTACACTTTCGTCCACCTTCCAGCCTCGGAGACAGGAGGCACTAGGGAACAGGACAATCTCGGGGGCCAGGGCCAATCACTGGCTCTCACACGGAGTTTGGAGATCCGAAGCAAGACTCCTTCAAACCCAAAAGCCCAGCTCTACAGCGGCAGCTGGAGCCTGCTCGGCCGGCTCAGCGCCACCCTCCTTCCTTTTGCGCCCGAGGATTCGATTTTGCTTCTGGATTTGAGCGGGGCGGGGCGGGGAGGGCGGGG